GGATCTCTGGGAAGCAACTTGGGTTTCCAGACCTATAAATTATATGTACACATATAAAGATAACTGCTTGTTACCTTTATTATTTTCTTATTAAGGCATAAGATATACTTATATAAATATATATAAGATATTTGAAAATATTGATGATTCAATATTTAGATAAATTGAAATTTTCACCACATTAAATGAACCTAAACACCTTTGCTTCTTTGTGTTTCCCTCCCTTGCTGTAACATGGCAATAATAGAATCTTGCTTGGGTTCATGAAGGTCTGTTGTTCATCAAGGTCCATTGTAGACTTGGGCAGGACCTTAAGTGAAGTTTGCACTTATTATTACTATTATTTTTTGCACTTATGAATGTATTTGCCTGCTGTCCACACCTGGCCTGTCACAAAACCCTCAGATGACTGTCCCCAAGTGCATAAGGCAATCTCACTCTGATTTTTTTTTTATTATTTTATAATAGTTTATTGTAACATCATTTTGTATACACTTTTTTTTTGCCATCTCAATTGTAATCCCCATGGGTTTCCCATCACCAAGTCACCCGTGTGCCATCACCATAATCCCGTGCACTTCCGTCCCCCAACCCCGTTTTTGATCCCATTCCCCACTCCACCCCCACAAAATGTCTCTGGTATATGGTTGTTCATTATTTTTGTTATTTTCTCGCCTGGTCCATTATACTCCTGCTGTGAGTGAAACCATCCGGTATTTTTCTTTCTCTTTCTGGCTTATCTCACTAAGCATGATCTTTTCCAGCTCCATCCAAGTTGCTGCAAAAGACATGGGTTTCTCTTTTTTGGTTGCTGAGTAATATTCCGTTGTATATATGTACCACATCTTTTTTATCCAGTCATCTACTTTTGGGCATTTGGGCTGCTTTCATGTTTTTCCAATTGTAAATAAAGCATCAATAAACATGGGGGTACAGGTATCTTTTTCAATCAGTGTTTTTGTGTCTTTGGGGTCTATACCTAGGAGCAATTTCACTCTGATTTACATGGTCATACCAGCTTAGATCATTACCTCATGTTTCCAGTCCCTTTTCTGTCTGAGCTGAGCCCCAGAACATGGGTGATCTTCCCTGTGACATTGGGATAGGGCTCAGTACCTGTTCTTCCTGGGTTCAGTTCCTCTTCTCTATAGTTCTGTGAGCTTATGCACATTTGCTTCTTTGTGTTTCCCTCCCTTGCTATAACATGATGATAATAGAATCTTGCTTGTGGAACTGGAATGATGCCAAAATCACTTAATACATCTAAACAGTTGTATTGATCACAATGCCCGACAAATTGAAGGTTCAGTATGTGTAAACTTATGTAGATTTACATTTATATAGACCTATAAATTATATGTACACATGTAAAGATAACTGCTTGTTACCATTATTTATTTTTTATTGAGATATATTTCAGATATATGACACTATGATTAATTTTCACCACATTAAGTCTAATTAACATCCATTGCCATAATAGTCACAAAGATTTTTCTTGTGAGAATTTTTAAGAGCTGTTTTCTTAGCAACTTGCAACATTAACTTGTAACATTAACTGTAATCATCTCAGGGCTTGCTTATCCTGTAACTGGAATTTATACCTTTTTTGATCTCCTTCACACATTTTGCCCACTCCATACCTCTGGAAACCTCCAGTGTATTCTTCGAATCTATAAGCTTATTTATTCATGTGTGTATTTGTTTAGTTTCCAAATGTCAATGAGATCATATAATATTTTTATCTGTCTTTTTTCCCTCTTGGTTAATCCATGTCTCAGATTGTAAAATTTCATTTTTATAGTTACATAATTTTCCACTGCACATATATTCCACATCTTTATCCAGTCATCGTAAGTGGACAATTAAGTTGTTTCCATGTTGGACATAGGTATACATATCTCTGTTTAAGTCAGTATTTTCACTTTCTTCAAATTAATACCCAAAAGTGGAATTGCCATGGTTTTTCTATTTTTAATTTTTGAAGAACTTCCATACTGTTTTCCAAAGTGGTCACACCAATAGTGTATAAGATTTTCCTTTTCTCCACATATTTGTCAGCAGTTATTTCTTACTTCTCCATGATAGCCATTCTAAGAGGTGTGAGAAGATATTTCTTTGTGGTTTGCATTTCCCAGATGATATCAAACATCTTACCATGAACCTGATGACCATTCACATGTCTTCTTTGTAAAAAATGTCTGTCTGGCTCCTCTTACCATTTTTTAATCATATTGTTTTGAGTCTTTGTTAGTGAGTTATGTGAGTTCTTTGTATATTTGCAGTAATCATGCCTTATCAGATATATAACTTGCAAATATTTTCTCCCATTCCATAGGTTGCCTCTTCATTTTGTTGATTATTTTGATGCTTCCTCTTCTGTTTCTGTTTCTTGCTATCCTCAAGCAGAATTTTTTGTTTAGCCAACTTGATAGCCAGTACATAATCACAGTTTGATAGATCAGGAATAGTGCAGTTTCTGTGAATTCCTTACAGTATTTTGTGGGGTGTAACTGAAAAATAAGTTACCGATGGAGTAAAGTGAACAAAAGTAAACGAACTTATACTTTAGACAATGTGTGTTATGTGGTAATTTGGAGGTGAGTTTCCAGTATCCATTTGCTCCATGAGGCTAAAATCTTCAAAGAGTTTCTTTCCACATATGTGGTTTGGCTTCCATCCTTCCTTAGTAGCTGATAAAAATACAATGTCCCAGGGCCCTCCCTAATGGTGCAGTGGGTTAAAGCACAGCACTGCAAAGCTAGCAGCAGCTGCTTCACTGCAAGTATGGCGAGTTCAATCTGCAGCCCCATAGGTGACCCACATGGCAGAGCAGACCTCTCCTGTCTCATCCACTGCTCCCCTCAGCTGTTTACTTTGTCGGTTGGCCTGTTCTGTTCCCCACTCTCTCTCTGGTGAATCCTCTCACCGCCCCTGCACCCCTGGCCTGTAGCCAATCTTTTAAATAAATCTTTTTTAAAAAATACAATATTTGCATTTCTCTCATCCTGCCGTCTTCAAAGCCTAGCACAGTGTGCTCATTTTCCAAGAATGTCCCTGGAGCTGGGTGTGTGGAGGAAGTGGCCACTGTGGGAGAGCATGGCGGCCCTCTGAGGAAACCCTGAGCAAGGGTTCCATCCAGGTGGGAGAGGCTAGGTCTTTACTTCCTTCCCTTGGCTGGTTTCTGCCATCTCTATCCTTAGGAGACTGTCCATTTAAAACCCCTTGCTGCTTTCATCTTCCCATCTCCTTCTCTTGAACTTGGTCTCACCTCTGCCCTGTGACCCCTGGTTTGGCAAGTTTGTCCTCTAGGCAGGCTCTGGCCTCCCACTGGAGCTGCAGTTTTCTTCTCTAGGGACATGTCTCAATCCTCAAATAACTATGACCATAAAAGCCATCTCGAAGACAGCACAGAAACAAAATGCTGTCAGAGGTTGTCTTGCTGTCCCAGCACTTGAAGTTGTCAAGGTCCCGGAGGTGTGAGGCCTTCAGCTCATCCTCAGGCCTCATCCACACCTGGGGGGAGGGGTGTGAGGGGCTCTCACTGTAACTGCATGGACAGTCTTGTTTTATCTTCCCCTTCCCAACCTGATTTTGAATGGGTGATTTTCTCCAATTTCAAATGTGATGAGTTTTGATTAAATGTTCCAAACTTGTTGAAACATATTAGGCTTGTTTTCTGAGAAAGTGTTCGCCTGTCTTTTTTAGTAAAATCCAATTCAGCTTGCTCTTTGAATAATTAGATTTTTTAATTAGCATATTGACTGGATAATTTTGTTCTATTGGTTTATTCAAAGCTTATCCAAAAAAGACCTCATTCAAATTCTCCTCATTAGGGTTATACAAAATATATAGGACAGTCAGTAAAATGTGCATTTCAGATGAATCTGGAATGATTTTTTTTTAGTACGAGTATGTCCCCTTTATGCATGGGATCTACTTATACTTAAATTTTTTTGCTTATCTGAAAGTTACAGTTAATATAAAATAGCAAGTTATCTTTTATTGTCTGCTAAATCTCACCTCCCACTCCAAACAGGTGTCCCTTCTCTGATCACCATGTCACTGGTCTTACATGTTCTCTACTTAGTCCCTGGTAGAATCACCCTTCTCAATTTGCCACCTCACTACTTATTAAAATTTCCTTTTCTAGGTGAATCTGTAAACTGTCCCTTTGATTCCTCATTTTGAGGGCTGGAGCTCAGTTTCATGTAAGCCATTCAATAGTTTCCATGGAGACAGGCAGTGAAAAGATGCAGGTCTTTGAGCACCTCTTCACTCCTGACCTGCTTGTTTCACTTCATCTTAATTCTAGTAAGTTGGTCTGCTCTCACTGCTAACAACCCAGGCACCACAACACAAGTCCTTAGTGTGCCATTCAGTTGCAAATCTCAGTGTTTTTCAGTTCTCAGTGTAAACAACCGTTTCATAATTTTGTTGTATGTTGTTATTATATGCGAGTCAGTTTGTCATTCAGAAACAAGCTTTTTCTCTTTTTATTGAAGTAATACTAGCTTATGACACTACATAGGTTTTAGGATTATTTTAAAAGAATGGAATCCTCAATAATTTCCCTTCTAATGAAGCACCAGAGTGTTTCTTGTGGAGTAGAAGCTGCTGGCAGCTCAAACTCGTGCCTGCCTCTGTGCACAGCTGGCTCAAAGGCCTTTCCGCCCAGTGGGGACAGGTCTTAGGGGCTGTGTGTGTGACACCTTCAGCCGCATTTGGCTTTACTCATGGTCTGCATAGTGAAGTTACATGTACTTTTATCCTTTGCCTTATTTCTCCTTCCAATTTCATAGTGTTAAGGGGAAAGGATGTCCTAAAGGAACTCTGCATGGGTGAAAACCCACAGAAAGGCAGCCCAGTGTGAACTGTAGCAATAGAAGTGCAAGTTAAGAAAAAGAGTTCTCCAGAAACCTGCCAGCTGCCGAGTGTGGAGAGAGGGGAACCATCGGCACAGGACACAGACCCAGTAATACCTCTGTTTTCCTTTGTAGAGTCCGTTTAGTAGAAAGAGGATCTCCTCATAGCTTGCCCCTGATGGAATCAGGAAAAGTAAGTATTAAAGGAAGAAATACGCATTTCCTTTTTGTTGTTGTGGGAGGACCATTGATCCATAGCCTTGCTAGTGTTTGACAGTGCTGGTTTCCCCTACTGCAAGCACCCATTGTCCTCTCCACAGTCGATTTCTATGTATAAGTATCACTTCACAGGCTCTCACATTTTAAGAAATGTAATTAATGGAATATCTTTTCTAAAAACTTTGCTCGAATATAATAAATCAGAGCTCAATTTGGACATGAGTGTAGAAAATCAATACTTTTTGAAATAAGTTAGATTTTTCCCCCCTTATATTAAAAAATAATAATAATAATGAGCATGAAGCCACCAGGAGCCCTGACACCTTCTATCTTGTTTCCTCTGCTTGGCTTCCATTCCCAAGAGGACCTCAAGTTCCAAAGTGGCTGCTGCAACACCAGCCATCCTTTCCATACTCTGGTGCAGGAGGAGAAACAGAAAAGGAGAAAGTGCAAACCTAGGAAGGTGTGATAGCTGCCTTATACTTCAAAACCATCAATCAGTATTTAGTCACATGGTCATACCTCTCTGAGCAGAAGGCTGAGAAGATTTTTTTGGTTCTGAATCTGTAGAGGGCCTAGCTAAAATTCATGATATCAATTATTGTGAAATCAGAAATCAGAGAACAGTTACCAGGAAACAACTAATATCATTCGCAGTGGTGGTTTTTTATAGAACCAGAGGACAAGAAACAACCTAAATGAAGATCCCCTTTTTTGACCAGTTTTCAGGCCTCTTTTTCCATTTGACATAGTTCTGAAAGCACCTTATCTTGCTTTTGGACCTTTTGTGAGTTGTGTCCACATGGCCACCAATAGGCTTCTTGGTCGTAAGGTGGTTCCACTGGGAAAACAGCCCACCTGTCCTAAAGCACTGGGCATCCTTAGTCAGACATGATTCTCAGACCAGTCAATTGGTAGGGGACAATGGTTCCAAGAGTCTTTACCACAGATGTTCTGCCTTTACTATACAGTGCTAACTTAATTGAACTAAGGTAGGCTGGCCTTCCAAAATCAACTTTTGATTCCCTGCTGATATGGTACAGGTAGGGCTTGGAACATTTCTTGGCTAGGAAGAGGTGCCAAATGTCGACATTGTCATTAAAGATGACTGCAGGAAAAGTTGGAGGTGTGGTTTGGAAGCAGCCAGGCCAGGCAGTGCAACCAGGAGACAGAAAGTGGCTCTGGAGTGATCACTCTGGCGCCTGGCCACACAGAAGCAGTTTACACTAAGTCATCATGCCACAACTAACTTCATTTTTAGTTCACACTAATCTCTGAAAACTTCATCCTTGCCTGCCTTAATTCAGTGCCTACTGCCAGCATCATCCTCTACAGGATGTTAGATGCAATTTTTTTTTTTCAGTTTCTCAGTTTCAAGACCATTTGAACACAGGTTATCTCATAGTAATAATTACAATAAAGTATTATGTTGTAATATATTGTTACACTGTGTTATATTGATTTAAAGTCATACCTGGTGACTTTAGATGTTCAGAAGCCACATGAGACCAAGGAAGTCTCAAGGTTGATTGGTGTGTAGTGTGTGCCTTTCTGTCCTGCCACTGATGGCTTCTTCTCCTCTTTGAAATAGATTCTTCCTGGTGTTCGGATTATAATTGCCAATCCAGAAACAAAAGGACCATTGGGCGATTCACACCTGGGTGAGGTGAGTTATGGGGTACTCCCTGAGCAAAGAGAAAAGGGGTGTTGTCCATGACATCAGCAAACTATTCCTGTGCACTGACTAAGGTGCATGTTCTGTTAAACTGGTCAAGAAAGACTGATGGGCTAGGAGAGCCCATGAGATAGTTTATTGCTTAGGTTGAGTCCAAGAAAGTTGGGACTTGGAATTTCCTTAAAGAAGTATGACAGATCCTCATCAAAGAATTTAGAAAAGATAGAACACTTCATGTTTGTGAACTGATTATCCTCATTTCCTAGCTTTTGAATTTGCTTTCCACACATCTGCCTTCATTGCTGAGACATTTTCAGCAGGAAGATGATAGGCTGGGGGGGGGGGGCAGTACCTGGAGCCCTAGCAGCATCAGGGAAGAGCAGTGAGCGGGTTAGATGAGTAACGGGATGGGAGAGATGTTTTCTCAGGCAGAAAGCCTTCCCCCTGGGGCTTGACTCACCTGCCCCTTGCACATGGTTGCTGCTGCCTGTGGCTGTGTCCTGGTCGCCACTCTCTGCTGAGCCAGACCAGGCATTCACTCCTCCACCTCCCCCCATTCTTCTCTCTTCACTGATAATCTTGCTGCTTCCACAGAGGAGCAAGAGGATATTAGAAAAGGACCCCACTTCATCCCAGCTCCCCCGCATCACCACAGACCGCCCACCCATCCTGGCCAAGGCCATGCCTGCAGGTGTCTTAGTCAGCACCTCCCCTTCCTGCCTTCCTGACCACTGCAGCTGTTCAGCTTGCAGCTTATTAAAACACCTCACACTCTTCCTGGAGTCACACCATAGACAGCAACACTGGACCGTGCACAGCCCAACTGGCACGCTGTGGTGATGGGCATGTCCGAACCTTGCTCACGCCACAGATGCCTTTTCTTTTTGGGCTGTTTTCTGGCCCTTACTCCTATGTCTCGGTCCTATATAGAGTTCAGTACTGAGATGGTGCAATTCTGTGCAGATCTTATTTAGAAATTTCCTTGAAATGCATTCCTAGAAATAAAATTGTATAGAGAAACTTCTTTCTTGGGCAGGGAGAGGGCCTGGCCCGTGCTGCCTCTGGGTGGCATGAGATGACATGGGCTAGAGGGGAGAACCCTTGGGTCATCACCCTGGTTTCCCTCCTGCGGTGTGTCTCACCAGGACGTTTCATCTGGGAGAGCACAGAGCAGCTTTCACCACTTCACTGGACTTCTCTCTTATGCATTTTCATGGGGGGAGCAGGTATTGATTGCCTGTTGTGTGCCAGGCTCCATTCAGGGATGTGGGAACCTAGCAGTAACCATAACAGACAGTGTTTCCACCTTCAAGAACTTTGACCCTCTTGCATTGTAAATAAAATAATGACAAGGGCCAAGCCCAATATTGCATTTGGAGCTTGGGGTGTTTTCATAGCATTTTAGGGTTCTATTGAACTAACTGCCCCCCTGGTCTTTTCCATGACTTTGCAAGCCTGACATGGTCAGTGCTTTGAGTCAACATCATTTTCCCCCATTTCCCTAAAAGTCAAACATGCAGGCTTTGGTTATCCTCTTTTTGATGTTATATACCTTTCCCTTTTGCAACTTATTTCATGTGTTTCATTACTTCCAAATGTACACAGAAATAAGTCATAAAGCTTTTATCATCTTTCCAGGTTGCTTTTTAGAAAGTCCTCACAGTAAGGAAGCTAGTACACGCTTCTTAATTGTTTTCTTTTTTTAATTATCTGATTTAATAGAATTTCTGGAGGTGAATGGCTTATATTGCTGGATCATAAGCTTTCCATTAATGCCTTTATTTCAGTGAATTTTTGGCATCCGTGTCCTCCCAGAAATCTGAATGACATTACTCTCACCTTGCTTTTGCAGTCCAAAGATAGTTTTAATACCTTTAAATACAACATACTGAAGTGTAAAGTACCTTCTTCCAGTGGGTGGTCTCAAGTTAACTTATCCAGTTATATTTTGCTTCCTCACCAGATCTGGGTTCATAGTGCCCACAATGCCAGTGGTTACTTCACCATTTATGGAGATGAGTCCCTCCAGTCAGATCATTTCAACTCAAGATTAAGTTTTGGAGACACACAGACAGTCTGGGCACGAACAGGCTATTTGGGGTTCCTGCGGAGAACTGAGCTCACGGATGCCAATGGAGGTGAGAGCCCAGACTGGCAACATGACAAGGTTCCTTTAGACACTGGACACTTGCTGGGGTTGGGGACCCCAAAACCAGGAGAACGTGTGCCCATACTTCCTGTGAGTAGCCAGAAACAATCTGAGTACACATCTCAGCAGGGCCAGGAGTGGAAGTTGCTCCCCATTCTCAGTGCTGCCCCAAGTGAAGAGCACCCTTATGGCCAGCAGGCGCTGGCTTCATGGTATCCCAGGCAGTTCCCACATGTAGCTCACTGACTTTGCCTGTCAGCTCCAGAGCTGCCCACAAGCCTAAGCCCCCCCGCCCCCCCCCAACCCAACTGCCTTAGGCTGCAGGAGCATGTATCTGCCGTCTAGGCAGGGTCTAGACCGAAAGGAAGGGGAGGTCACTAGCCGCTCAGGCCTGATGCTGTACACCCCGTGCCTGAGGGATGCAGTGTGGGGGGCTGGTGCTTGGGGGGTGGGGGAGTATTTCAATGCACCCAAACATAAGAAACCACTTGTACTCAGTTCTTTGCTGGTTTTGGAGTCCCCGCTCACTGCCTACTTACACTAAGAATGGAGGCTAAGATACTTACTAAGATACAAGGCTGGGCGCTGAGATCATTTGGTCAGTGCCTGCTGACACACCTGCCTGGCAGGAGCTACGCTGACTGTGCCAGCTCAGTTGTCACAGATTTAGGGGAAATGTACAAGAGTATGTTGGCATTGCATTTGCAATGTTGGAATATTGTAGATTTTGTTTGACGCCTACCTGGGGCTCCTGTAAAGCATCAAGCTTAGCGAGAAGTGAGTTGCGGGTGAGGGGCAGGGCCCGTCCCAAGGACTCTCTGAGGGGTGCTGCATCCTCACCTCCCTGCACCCCCCCAAAGATGGGAGACCCTGCTCTAGTGTTTGACTTAGCTAGTCAATGTCTCATCTGAGTTAAACTGAAAAAGATTTATTACCTGGGATTATTTCATCTCTTCAGTACGTAATTTTTGTAAGAAAGTCCACCACTTTTAAATTTTCTCTGATATATTGATACCCTATAGATTAAGGGCATGTCTCCCTATTTTTAAAGAAAGATAGAACTGACTGCATGTTGTAATTGTCCAAGGTTTGCACAACTGATAAGAAAAAAATTAAACGATTGCATGAGCTAAGGAAATCTTTGTCCATGAACATTACCAGAAAGTGCTTTCTTTGCCACTCAGACATAGAATGGTAACAGATTCCATGAAGTGGTGGAACCAAGGGGGACCAGCCAGGTTTAATTTTCATGGTGCTGCATCCTGCGCAGTGGCCTCGGGAGAGCTTGTGAGGGATGAGTGCTGCCCCCAGGGGACTGAGCCCAGGACTAGGCTGCCTTTCAGTGCGTACTAATGTGTCTGTGGTAGAAGCTGCTCAGGGAGAAGCCCTGTCTCCTGTGGGTGGAGGCAGGTGTGAGACTTGCACTCCAGGGAGACCACACTGCTAGCAGGTGGAAGCCCCAGGCTACAAGGCTTCTGGGTAGCGGGGGAATAGCTACCCCACTGCTTTCTCGCTTGGGGTAGTCTTTACCATTGAGCAGCATTTCAGTGAGACTCACACATTTCCTGTCCCCTAAACAGAGCGCCACGATGCCCTCTACGTGGTGGGAGCCCTAGATGAAGCCATGGAGCTGCGGGGGATGCGGTACCACCCGATAGACATCGAGACTTCCGTCATCAGAGCCCATAAAAGCGTTACAGAGTGGTGAGTGATGGGAGGGTGTGCGCGGGACAGGGGAGGTTGGTGCAGCGGGCCCTAGCTTTTGGTTTTGAGCTTTTGCCTGTGGGGTCACTGAGCAGTAAATGAGCTCTGCTGGCATGGAGTTGGCATTTCCTGCCTTTCCTGAAAAGGACCAAGAAACAACCAGATAGCGATTTCCAGGAGACCAAGTTGTCATCACTTGTGTGATTTTGGTTTCTGTTAGCATGGTGTAAAGGGAAACTAGCTTGTCTGCAGATGCTGGCACAGAAGGTACTTTGATGTCTGTCATTGGTACAAGCCACTGTGCCAAGTGGGAAGACTCAGATGAAGGCAGATATACCCATGTTCAACCAAGGCTGATGGCACCCAGGCGCCCAGACACAGGGAATGCCCCCTGGAGGCTGGACACCATCCCTTCCTGTCCTGTTTGGTCGGCTGGGGTGCAAGTGTTGCCACTGCTGCCCACACCTGGGGCTGGCCCTGCTGGAGCCTTGGCATGGTGTTTGGGGTGAAATGTGGCATAGCCCAGAAACCAGGCATGCAGCCTGCTTCGGTTTCCATCTAAGTTACTGTAGCTACCAACGGTTGCCTTCCATTCTAGTATTTTTAAGAAAGTAATTTTGAATGGCTATATTGACTCCCTCAATAATTTTGTATCTAGTTGCAAAACAGCTGTTTCCTCCTGCTGCTCAAGTGACCTCTGGCCCCCAAGGCTGGTTCTTATTCTAAGCGTCACTGACATTCTCCCACGTCATGAACAAGGGTCTGACAGTCACCCCTTCCTGTGCCTTTTCTTTTGGCACCAGGAAGAAATAAAAGCAGTGGTCTTATTCTGACGCTCTTCTGTCCCTTAAGGACTATCCTGAGCTTGTGGTTTTCATGCTCCTTGTCTGACCTTGCCAGGCCTCCACCGTGTGCCCTTTCCTCACTTCCCACTGAGAGTTGGGCACCCACGTCTCCTACCCAGGCTGCCAGGGCTCAGTCAGTTGAGCAGCTTGCCCTGTTTTCTGCTCTCTGCATGTCACATTGCATGGGCCTGGCGGTCTCCCGTGCAGGGAAAGCAGTCAGTGTCCTGCCCAGGGGGCACGTCCCCGCCCATTAAGTACAAAAACCCCACTGATTCTGTGTCACCTGTTGCAAGTGGGTAATAAAATTATGTGCCAGCGACTGAGATGTGTGTGCCAGCTGACAGCACAGCCTTACAAAGTGCATCACTGGCCACCAGCAAAATACACACATCGCGTCAAGTGTCATTGTGGAACTGACACATCTTAGGGACAGTTCTTGGAAATTGTCCCCAGAGATCTGCCAAGCAGCTTATGAGCACAGAGTAAATGAATATTAAGGACCTTGACCACTTTTTAAAAGTCAGACTATGGAAGGTTAATGTGGCCTAGGTGTAAAGCACTGGGCTTAGGCTTCCATAGACTGGGCAGGTCAAATGCTCTTGGTGACCCTCCCACTGATAGATCCCAGTGCAACACTTAATGAGTGAATCTTTTAGTTTGGGATGTATTACAGTCACCCCAACCTCAATCCCTGAAGCAGCTGTCAGCCACCTCTCATTCCCCTTGTCTGTGGTTGGCCTCTGGCTTAGCTGATCCTGGCATGGCCAGGACCAGTGGGTCTCCTGCTCTGTTTCTTGTCCTCCCAGATGGCCCCATCCACTTTTGCTCACATCCCACTGACCAACATCAGGGGCACAGATGCCACCCATAGGGCTGCAGAGCCCAGATCCAGGGAGGTGGCCCTGCTGCCCTGATACCCCACCCCACCCTGTGCCCCTGATGGCAGATGCCACCCAGATAATGGTGTAGGAGCAGCGACAAATAGACGGGCTGCTGACAGGCATGGGGGGCCCGCAGCAGCTGAAGGAGATGGGCCCAGGAACCACAGGCCGGAGGAGATGGTCAGTGCTCAGGCAGGCCTGCCAGGAACCAGTGGAACGCCTCGAAAAGGAAGCATAGCCGTCCCGTCAAAGCCGCCGGTGTGTGATGGTGTTTTCTCTCTTCCAGTGCGGTGTTCACCTGGACAAATTTGTTGGTGGTGGTGGTTGAGCTGGACGGGTCGGAGCAGGAAGCCTTGGACCTGGTCCCGCTGGTGACGAACGTGGTGCTGGAAGAGCACTACCTAGTGGTGGGGGTGGTGGTTGTGGTGGACATCGGCGTCATCCCCATCAACTCCCGGGGGGAGAAGCAGCGTATGCACCTGCGAGACGGATTTTTGGCCGACCAGCTGGACCCCATCTACGTGGCCTACAACATGTAGTCTTGTCTCTGGCTCCCGGGACTTTTCCAGAGATGTAAACATTTTTCTCAGTGTCACTAAAGTATGCAGACGCCAGGGCGACGTTCGCCCGAGTGGAGCCTTTGTCGCGCGACGGCCAGGAGGAGCCGTGCCCCAGCAGGCCTGGCCAGCGTGGGGTGAGAAGGGGGTGTGCCGCTCAAGCTTGCTCAGAAGGACTCGGATGACTGCCTTCAGTTTGTGGGAAAAGCCCATTTCGAAACTTTCTTTTCTTTTTTTTTTTTAATTATTGGATAATAAGTGCTTTCTTCGTAAATGTGGTATTTTGTTAAAGCCAAAATAGCAATTAAAAAAAATATTCTGCCCTCCAGATGGGTTCTTTTAAACAATTTATGTAGTGTGACAAAAAAAAATGTTTTCTCTGTTTTAATGTGTCATGAAATCTTAATGACATGGACCTGTTACTAATTTAAGCCATTGCTAGATCTCATCCTTTTAGGAAAGTTTGTTGAGGTACGAGAAAACCTTCCAAATAGCACCTTCCAATTAGATTTTAGCAACTTTCTTTGTCAGAAATGTGCTGAAGAGACAAAGGCTGGTATATGGCCTTTGAAGTTAGCATAGAATGAGAAGAAATTATAAATAAGGTGTATTTCGGCAATTATCTTGCAGATATCTTTGTACTAAACTAAAAAGATAAAATAAGTTAACTTCTTCATATGTAATTATGTACAAACCGTTTAATTTATTTTGATCTCTTTAGAAGTATAAAAAAGAAAAACATTCAAGAATATTAAAGTCTTGTAATGTTTGCTAATATAAAAAAGTGTTGTATTATCTTGCGTGGATAGTATCACAACAAATATATATATATGAAATATAAATCCACTAATGAACAAAGGAGATTTTAAAGTTTAAAATGCAGAACCTGTCACTTGCATGGTGTCCCTCCACTGTACTGTAGATAGAGAGAGGTTCTCTCATACCCACTCTGCTGATGCGAGCAATCACAGATTGCCGGTAGCCCAGTCTAAACGTTTCTTCTAGAACCAGAGACCAGCAAGTGAAATTACTGCCATCTCAGAGATGGTGAAAGGATTTGAAGCTAAATGTGCACTATTTTTTCCTTTGCTGTGGGGGCAACAAGGAAGGCGTGAGCCGTGCACCGCAGGCCAGGGGAGGCAGGTGGTGGATAGTACTGTTCTCTCAGCTGCAAGAATTTGTTGCACAATGTTTTTCAGCATTTTTGTTAGCATCACCTTCTTTTGGTCCTTGGTATGAAAAGGAATGATATTCTGTGGTCATTTGCACTGGGTTGCTTTGATTCCCCTCAGATGGCCCGTGTGTGGAGTGGACCGTGTCCAGAACAGCTGAAAGGGAAAAGACTCACACAGGAGATGATCCCCTCAGCCGGAGGTCTGGGCTTCCCTAGCCGGGGCCTCCTGACCCAGCCACTGGCTGATGCAAGAAAGCCTCCCGGCAGCCTTCGCTTCGCCTCCTGTGAGAACCATGGCAGTTCTTATTTCCGTCTGTTGCTGCTCCTGCCTCACACGTCCTCTGATTTTCAGAGCCCATCTGTAAACTCCTTGATGAATTGGCCCAACCGTGTCCAGCCAAGAAGAGGGATCAGCTGCTCCGGAGTGATTTATTTTATAATCGCCTCTAATTGACCCTGCAGTGGCTCGTTGCTAGATGTGCATGACTAAGATTGTTGCTGGGCAAAATTAGATTCTCTTTCCATTATATCGCAAGCAATGTCTTTATCTGCCTCTGCTCTGTGCGCAAGCAGTAAGCCCTTTGCTAAAAGAGTTTTGTTTGACTTCTGAGATCCAAGGCAAATTGTTTTTAGAAAATCTTAAGCAGCATATTTTTCTTTAATTCGTCTGCATGTGGGGTGCGCCCTTCCATCTCCACAAGCCATTTGATTTTTAAAATATCGTTTGACTTCATTGCTGTGTAAGAATATCTCTCCACATGTTTCAGATACACATTCCTACAGTCTTCTGCTTCCGAAGGGGGAAAACCCTAACACATAAAAAGAAAAAAAGACGTTTTCTTAGACACACACCTTGTTGAAGGGGAAGTGGGTTTCAGGTTTCAGGTAGACACTGAGTCCAAAACATGACTGCAAGATCATCTGTGAGGGCCAGTGGATGTTGGAAGCAAATGCGGCCGATGTCGCTTCAAACACGACTTCCTGTGGCCTCCTGTGCTCCAGATGCGAGTCCAGGGGCCAGGAAGGCCTGCAGGCCACGCTGTCTTCTCTGGTGTCGGAGTCAAGGCCCAAGGCACTAGGGGCTGGGATCAGAGTTCTGTTGTGCAAGGAGACACTTAGGTACCACCTGTTTCAGCAATAAAGAAGGATCGTTCTGTATTAGAAATTGTACTGTAGATAAATCATTCATGAGAATGTGACAAATGTTTGTCTTGTGACCTTGTGCTTTTGAAGTCAGACAAAACCGTGGAATCAACTTGCACAAAGGAGGGTACACAATGAACATTGAAACACAGACCTAACCCAGCAGGGCGGCTGCCTCATGGTGCTTGTTTATTATATATATTTAATCCTGCTTGACACTTTACCCAAGGGAAACTGTCCCTTTTATCAGTTGAATGTTAGCAGCGTTATTTCATAGAGTGTGGTGACTGGTTAGAGAAATCCATGTACTCAACCAATCACGGTTTCAAACAAAATTTTTATGTGCAAAGGACGGCAACCTTCTCGTATGTTAAACCACCAGTAAGCTTTGTACATCTGTGATAACGCCTGTTTTATATTCAAATGAACAAATAAAAGCTTTTATTTTTGTTGCTCTGAAAATAGCAGTTTCTTAATTGGTCCCCAGGAAAACTGTCTGGGGCTGCCTGGCTCCCAGAAAGGAAGTGACTCCTACAGGGAAATGTTTCTGACTCTGTTTACATAATTTGTTTCATTACTTATTAGCACAGATATCGTACTTTGAACAATGTTTAAATTTTGATGTGGGCATTTATTGCTAAAAAAATTCCTATGGCAACAAATGTTTTGTGAAATGTTTTTTTTAATTCTTTTAAATATATCTAAATATATTTGTTCACATTTTGCTGCAAGTGTACAGATTATTGGTAACTGTTTGGACAAACAGTAATCGTGAGTCCTGTGTGCAATACTGTCGCTGTATGCAGGGACCCCGAGCAACTCCGGAGGTAGGTGTAGCTGACTGTTCCAACCCAAGTTGTTTGTTTGTTGGACAACCAAAAGTTCGACGTTTTGTCCAAGATCTGAGTGTTCTGACGACTGTCTTCTGGAAGACACTAGCGGGTTAACTGGCCGTCAGCCTAAAGATGATTGAAACGGTCTCACGTCCATAAAAACCAGTACACACATCCCAGCTTACTCTGCGTGCCTTTGTATTTGAGCTCCACTTGTCCCTGTTCCTCCCAACTCTTGTTCAAGATAATCTCCAGTTAAGTGGGGGATGATGTTTGGGTTGACAAAATGGATGACTAGTGCCAGACCAGCCCGGCAATGATGGATGACTATTGCAAAGAAGGCCCAACTTCCCAGAGGGTAGCCTAAGGAAGACAAGCACTGTGAACCTAGTCCTGCTTCAGAGAGAGTGTGCTGCGTGCGTGCGTGCGTGTGTGTGTGTTTGTGTGTACACGTGTACACCACGTGTAGTGTTCTACATCCTCTCGCACATGTTGACTTCTGGAGATACATGCAATAGTGGGCTGCTAGCTCTGGTTTGATGCCATTCTACATCTTAGGACTCTCGGTGAGGTCTCTGTGCACTGAGACAGGGTGGTCTGACCCTCAAGAAAAGCCATGAGACTGCTACTGTGAAATTCCTGGGCAAAAAGAACCATGTCCTTAAATCCACACTTCTATGACCGTCAGCTTTGATTTACTACATTTTCTTTGTAGAACTCACAAGCCCTGATCCCTAAGATGGAGCCGAACTTCTGTTTTCTGTTCCATTCCAGAGACTCATGCTGGAACCCCAAGTGGCTGTCTCTCCAGAGTGAGAACTCGGCTATCACACCTCCTGGCCAGGTCAAGCTGGCTTCAAAAGAGGGCCGCTGGCTCTCTCTTGCTGTTACTCAGCCTTTAATGTTAAATCTATGGCCCGTGGTTTTGTGGTGGTGGCACTTTGAGCCGGTGGTGGCACTTTGAGTCGCTGGTCACAGCAGCTCTGCTGGCTTTGGAAGGCCCGGCCCAAGGAGTGTTTCTGCTTCTGCCCTCCCCATTCACTTTCATCCTCACCCTCCTTGTGTGCAAAAAGGACTCAGACTTTCATGGTGTTGAGTAGTTGGGGAGGGGTGAGGTGGACCCCTTCCCTGCCTGGGAGCCCTGGCTGTTTTCGCAGCCCCCCAAAGCTCTCTGGGTAATAATCTGTGCAGGCTGGTGGTCTGCCCTGTCCCCATTCAGGTCCAGTCTCTTCTCAACAGCTCAGCCATGAGTCTAGAAGGCAGAAAGCTGCAGCAGCTCCAGCAGATGCCGCCCCGCTTGAGGAGTGAGGCTCCTGCACCAGGGTGGTGCTACTCCGGCCATGGGGCCCCTGGGAAACTGCAGCATGAAGCAAGCACAGAGGGAGCCAGGAAGGACTCAGCCATAGAAGGTGAGAGTGCGGAGGGAGACCCTTGGCCCATTGTGAGTCCCCTGGCCTGGCTGCCTTGGAGATCTGGGAAGAGCACAGTGACCTCTGCTCTTGTCGCTGCTTCCTGGGCTGTGTCCATGTGGACCAGGGTCTTGTTGCCTCCCAGCTTTCCTATGTGAGGGTGGGGTGGGTTTTTCCTGGGCACCTGACACAGCAAATCCCCAGTGGAGGCCTTCTCGGGGCTAGGTGGCACCAAGGGTCACTGTGGCCAATGGGCTCCAAGCCTTCCCAGGAGCCAGTGATGGACATACCAAGATGGCACCAGAAACGAGCAAATGTTGATATTGTTGGTGTTTCAGAAGACATTGGTGAATCCTTATAGCTACTCCGGCCTTGTTGCCAAAGGTATTGATTATAATAACCCATGGCTGGTGCCCCACAACCCCCCAATCATTTGACAAATGATTGGAAATATCAGAAAGAAAATACATGATGATGGAGGGATGTAGGAGGAGTTAGAATAAATGATGTGGTTCGTGAACAGATTTCATTCACAATAGCCATTAGAAAGATCCGCGAAATGGTACATTAAAAGTCGGAAGAAATGAAAACATGGAAGGATACAGAAAAGAACCAGATCTAAGTGGACATCAAGTGACTGGGGTCTGTCAAGCCTCTTCCCAATGTGTGCTGAGACGTGGCAGAAAATGGAGGGGGCATGGCCTCCCTCTCTTACCAGGTGAGCCACAGAGGGCAGGTGACAGCCCAGGTGGGTGCTCCCAGCACCTGTACCCCCGGCCTCTAGTGACAACTCCGCCTCCAGCAGTGCCACGCTGCGGCCCCCACTGACCGCCCAAGCCACCTGCCTGCTCAGGGGTTTTAAAGTACAAATTCTATTTTTAGCTTGCAAGCCCCACAGTAATAGCGGCAGGATTGGGTCCTCGGGTTGTAATTTGTTGATGTCTATTTTAAGGTACATGGGTCATAGCTAACTTTTGAGAATTAACTTCTGATTGTAAATTCCCTTTCAAAGAAAATTAGTTTCTGATTGCAATAGTTTGGTCTTTAAAAAAAAAGTTTAAATGTTCAAATTCTGTTTTATTCACTTGTTCAATCCATGAATTTTTTTAGATTTATTTATTTATGCATACAAAACTAGAGTACAGGCCAGAAGTGCAGAGATGTGAGCAGATTTCACTAGAGACAGAGTGGAAGCAGAACAGGCCGACTGACGAAGTGCACTGCTAAGGGGTCAGGAGAGGTCTGCCACGCCATGTGTATCACCTCCGGGGCTGGGGATCAAACCCATGCAGAAGTGGCTTTAGCTTCTTAGTGCTGTGCTTTAATCCACTGCACCACCAGGGAGGACCCGAATCCATGAATATTTGTTCACCCAGGACAAAGCAGAAAGACCCTCAAAGTTTGGGGTCTACAGTAAAGTGCAGGTTGGTTGGGTGGGCCTGTCTGACTTCTGCCACACAGAGACCACCTTGGCTTCTCTGTCTTTAAAAAGAAGGGTTCAGACTAAAGATCTGGATACACTCATTTCCCCTACCTGTGCTAATCTTTAAGCCTATCTTCTAAATGTGACTATGAGGTTTATGACTTACTCAAGTATTTTCCTGCCATCAAGCAGCAACAATGCCTTGCACCTCACCCGCTGCAGACGCAGCTGCCCTGGGGAGCCAGCACTGTGCAAAGAACTTTTCTTCTCAGGGCAAACCAGAGCTTAATAAAAGACATGATTTTGGGTGATTTGATGCTTCACCGTGCTTGTAGCTATAGACAGACATGTGGTGACTGTGCAGGTGGTGGGGTTTGGCAGTAGTGTGTAATACCCCCTGCACCCAAGTATCCTCTCACCTCTATTTAGGAAAAAGGAGCAAGGTGTCCTGCACTTACAGAATACTCTAGCCCTTGAATTTTCTGAGAACAACAATGAAGGATTCTTTTTGAACAACAAAGTTCAGACTTGCTCTCCTCACATCTGATCAATCTATCAACAGGAGTAATTTGCTATTACTCCATCAAATGCTTAAGGGTAGAAGTTACTTAAAGAGAGTAGGTGAACTTCTATAGTGTGAATAATTAAGTCTCCCCATTGTTCTGTTTAAGGTCAAATCAAATGTTCAGCTATTAACATATTAAGTATTACCAGTACATGGAATATTCAGGTAATGCCTGAAAATTTTTTCCTGAAGATTTGTGTGGAATTTTATTCTTGTCATTTGTTAAACCAGTCAGCAGATAGTTTTTGTTTTTACTTCATGGATTTTATTTTGAATTTCCCAAAGGTACATATATATTTTTTTAATCTATTTTTTTTCCAACATCATTCTTCATTTTGTACATATTTTATCTCAGTTGTAACCCCCATGTATTTCATTTAATCTTGCAAAAGGGTGGCAGTGGGAGATAACTTCCTACAGAAAGATCCTTCTCCCCATCCTAACCACCTTCCCAGCTGTCCTTCCAGACATCTCTATTATAACAATCCTCATTTCATGGGTTTCAGTGGCTCTAGGACCACTGAGTAAGAACAAGAGGTCGGACTAGTGGCATTTCAGGAGTTTCTACTATGTTTAAAGCACTAGGTGGGACAGGAGTGAGGCTCCAGGGTGCACAAATAGCCAGGATGGTAACCTAGTGGTGGTGGGAGAGCTAGAAAGTAAGAAATGGACCCGCACATGTAGAGGACCTGGCCAAGTGTGCAGGTTAGGAATAAGATAATTGAGATAATTCAGAAGAGAAAGAGCTCTTGGCCTCGGCAGGCAGCTTAGCTCTTGGCTCTTCACCGTTTTTCAGCCTGCTGTTGGGGTTCCAAGTCAGCAGACTGGTAGGACATATTAATTAACTTATCTCTCTCTTTCCCTGAGTTATTCAGTTCTCTTTTCCCTTGTAAACAAGCCCATTATTAACCTTAAACAAAAAAAAAAGGGGGGGGGCTCTCCCAGGTAGGTTAAAGCACAGCACTAAGAAGCTAAAGCCACTGCAGCATGAGTTCTATCCCCGCCATGGAGCTGACCCACATGGCACGACAGACCTCTCCTGGCCCACCCGCTGCTCCCCTCAGCAGTGTATTTTGTCGATCTGCCTGCTCTGCTCCCCACTCTGTCTCTGGGGAAGCCTCTCATCGCCCCTGCACCTCTGGCCTATACCCCAGTTCTCTATGCATAAATAAATAAATCGTTAAAAAAAAAAAAAAAGGGAAAGATACCAGCATCACCTGCCACCCACAGCTGAGCAGAATTTCCTGGTGCTATTAGGAAAAAACCCTGATCAGCACTTTTGAAAAACTTATGTTGAAGAGACAAAACACATGGCCCATCGTGTTTTATCCATCCTGAGGTCATGTGGACACAACCCCTGCAGCCACGTCAGGGACCACTTGTTATTCTTTGCTGATGTCTTTTCTGTGTTGTTTATGTGAGCGCAAGCCCATTATGAAGGCGCTTCCTCCCACCCTTCACTCCAAAGGAAGGCACTCTGAGCACTCTGCACCC